GCAGGGAGTTAGAAAATGGAAGCAGTAAGGAGGAAGAAGGTTAAAAGACTGGGATCTTAAGAATTGTACATATAGGGAAGGTCAAGTGGTCAAGAAGAACAGGGAAAGCAAATGGATTGCCCGAGATCACAGAGCTAATTCGTGTTAAAGAAAGTGCTTGAACCCAGGGTTCCTGAATTTTCAGACAACCACCCCTACCCACACCCATATCTACCCATCTACACACACAGACATACACCCATTGGCAAAGGAAACTCCAGGGTCCAGGTCAAGGCTTCAAAACTAAATACACAGGGCAGCTAGATGGCACAGTGGATAGAGCACCAGCCTAGAGTCAAGACCACCTGACTTCAAATCCGGCCTCGGATTCTTACTGTGACCCTGGACAAGTCACTAAAGCCCAACTGCCTGAAAGAAATAAACTAAATACATGCAGCTCTGCAAGGGTTAATGCACAGGTAGCAATATGGAACCCCTGAGGAAATCCAAAGAACAGAAAGAAAGGATATCACCAGGGAAAAGCAGGATACAAAAAGGTGGGGTTGGTCACACAGTGAGGGTGAGGGATGGTGGGCTGGCAGGATGAGTGTTCTCCCCGAGCCATCCTCCATCAAAACATCCAGAGAAAGTGAGGTGGCCAATCCCAATGCCTTGAGGAACTTACAGGAAGAGGGGATCATGCAGGGTGGGGAATCATGGGTGGGTTTCAATCTGCCTCACTGGAAAGAACCAAAAATTTGTATGCATCTATTGAGACACAGCACAGGGATCACATTAACTTTGAGAGGAACATGTTGGATTTATATATATATTTTTAAAAAAACCAACCAACCAGAAGTAGGCTGTATGGAACAGAGATCCCCAGTTTCCTACAAGCAAACAAACAAAAAAAGCCCCAAGACAAAAACTTGCCCCATGTAGGACCAGGAGGTCCAGCTAGGAGGGATGGGTGGCAGCTGGGGATAAAGAGGTTTAAGTTTGCTGTAACAAAGAACTTTCTGCCAATGATCCAACATGGCAGCTCCTTTGAGAGGGAGGGGGCAGGTTCCTCTTCCCTGCTTTGGAGGTCTCCAAGAAGAGGCTGAATGATTCCTAGTTGGCAATGTCATAATATGGATTGTTTTAGTGTCTGTTGGACTAGATGGGGTCTGAGATCCAGTGACTGGTTATTTTGGGAGTGGGTCTGGGTAGCAGAGGAGGGTAAACAGCTCATGTTTACAGGAACCAACTTGGTTTTTTTCAAGACATCTCTTCTAACTGATATTTTCAGGTCTACTGTAGACCGGCCTGCCTTTCCTGAGATATTTTATTAGGTTACCAGTTAAAGCAACAGGTTTAATCAGGTTCTGATAAGCCTCCTGAAATCTTCGCCAAGTCCTGAAAAAACGAGAGGAAATTACTGTAGGGGCCATAGAGATGTCACTTGAATGAAGAATTAGTCCTTAAACGTCCTAAGAAGATAATACACTGTAGTCCCTGCCACTGTGTGGCTATCTGCATCCATCAGGGGCCAGGCTTAATTTGGGAAGGCCACCAAAATGCCCAGGGAGCAAAATCCAGCAGCCTGTTCATTTCCCCAAAGGGCCAGGGTCAACAGAAAGACTCACAGGGCCTTCCCAAACAGGCAGGCAAGAAGGATGGCCCTTGAGTATGAGAGGGGCAGCAGTGTGCCTACTGAAGGCCCCATGCAAAGCACAAGGGTGGATTTCTGGAGCATCCTCAAAGAGTCCTGTAGGCTCCTGGGGACTGTCCCCAAGGACAGAGGGTACTTCGAGTTTACTCAGAAGAGACAGAGCACCTATTTGGGCCAACCCAAGCACTTGCCAGCGTTTGGCGACATCCATCCTCACAGTCATCTCTTGGTACATTTTTTTTTAATGGAATGGCTATGCGCTTCTAATTCTAAACCAGGGACCCTAACAAAGATGCCCATAACTTCCCATCACTCACAAAGCATTTAGTTATTTTTTTCCTTCTATTTATTATTTTTTTTTTGGTGAGGCAATGGGGGTTAAGTGACCTTCGCAGGGTCACACAGCTAGTAAGTGTCAAATGTCTGAGGCTGGATTTGAACTCAGGTCCTCCTGACTCCAAGGCCAGCGTTCTATCCACTGCGCCACCTAGGTGCCCCTTAGCAAGCATTTATTAACCATGTGCCAGGCCCTGTGCTGGGAAAACATAAAAGCAAAACTCTCATGAAGCACCCTGCCAACTCCATTCCAATGAGTTATCACCTCAAGGTCGTGGTACCAAATACAGTAATATTCCAGTTTTTCTATTCGTCTACTGGTTGGTTTTGACTTACATAGGATCACAGATTTAGAGCAGAAAGTCATCACCTACCAGCTAAAATTCTGCCTTCTACAGGAAGCCATCTTAATTCTAGTGCCTTCCCCCTGCTGATTATTTCCAGTTTATTCTGTTTATATCTTGTTTGTACACATTTGTTTTCTTGTCTCCCCTGCTAGACTGTGAGCCCCTCAAGGGCAGAGAATGCTTTTCCCTTTCTTTAAAAATCCATCACTTAGCACAGTGCCTGGCATGCAGTAGGCTCTTAATAAATGCTAATTGACCGATGCCTCCCTAACTGATCCAGACACTAGAGGTCCATCAATCAGTCAATCAATACCCATTTATTAAGTACCTCCTGTGTGCCGAGTACAGGGGACCTCCCCACCTCAAAAAAAGCTACCTCCCTCTGGCTCCACAGCTATCTCACCACATAAGCCTCCATCTATTTCCATTTGTGGTTGCCTCTGAATCCACTTCCAGCCCCAACATTAGAATTCAGCTTGGAGCAGCTCGGAAAGTCCCTCGGTTCTTGCCACATAGCAGCAGTCTCTGCCCTTTATCCCAACAGCCTTACAGATGCTAATCACTTCACCCCAGCCTGGGAGTGGCATGGGTTGGGAAACACATTCCCCCTTTGTTTTCTGATAGGACATAGATTCGGGCAGAATTCAACTCCAGGGCACCCTGCTAGGCACAGGGGGCTGATGTAATGAGCCATGTCCTCAAGGGGCTGATGGTAGGTGACAGAGCTAGGCTCTCCAGCTTCTAGGGCAGCCCTCTTTCCACTGCCCCGTGGTGCCTCCCTTCTTCATGGCGGAAACAATGTGCTGGGGTCAAGAAACCAGGTTAGAAGAGAAGCAATCTGGTGAGATCTCAGGTTTCCCTGGCCAGGAGTGAGCCAGGCGGGATCTCTGCATTACAGATTAAAAGCCGGAAGATCACCTAGCCAAACCCCAAATATAACAGATTTAAAATAATTCTTAAAAATTTTAAATAATTAAAAAATTAAACCGATACTTTAAAAGCAAGGCCCAGAGAAGAGAAGCAATTTGGCCACCATTACAGGCACAGCTATTAAGTAAGAGGCAGAATCAGAGATTCGAACTCAGGTCCTCTGGCTCAAAGACCCAGCGGGCAGGGAGGGAGGAACACCAAACAGGAGGGTGCCATCCCTCATGATGGTCCACGTGCCCCGTCAGTAGGGAATATGCCACCCTCTTCTGTATGAGGCTGTATTCCCTGGCTGGGGTCAGAAGAAAAGTCTGTGGCCACAGAGCTGAGCAGTCATGGGTGAGGGGGTCAGGGTGAACCGAAAACCCTGGCCTTGGGTTCTGGGCCTCTTCTAAGATGCACCTGAGAACAATTAAGAGCCCAGACTGGCCAACTAGTGGATCAAAGTGTCTTAGAAAAGTACTGCTAAATGCCTTTGAAATGAGAAAGTTGGCTAGCTGCCTGCTTTTCAGGGCACAGCTGTGACCTGGGAGCGGGCAAGGGGACCCGGCATCCAGCACCCATGCGGGGCGGGGTCTGTTCTTCCACGACTGCCGCCCATCCCTACACCTGCAGGGCCTCCAGTGACAGGCCACACACGGCCCCAGGCCACCCCAGCCACAAGAATCCCTGGTTATGGCCCTCGTACAAGGCTAGAAGGTTTGGATTTTATCAGAACTTGGGAGTAAGAAAGGAAAGGGGGAGAGGTGTGTATGTGTGAAAATTTAAAGAAAGGAGGATTTCGGGCAAAAAGGGACTTTATGGGTCAGCCAGCCACAGGCCCTTAGAGGTGGGGTGCTCTTGGTTAAGAAACTGCCTCTACTAAGATAGGCCAACAGAAGCAGTGTTATATACAGTGGGGAAACCATTAGAGGTGGAGGCCCTGGGTTCAACTCTACCCATATGACCTTGAACAAGTCACCAGTGGACCTCTCTCTGGGCCTCAGTTTCCTCATTTGTAAAATGAGGGGGTTGCACCTTCTACCCCTATATCTATGAAACTCTCCCTCATTTATTATTATTATTGTGTACAATTTGAATCCAATCTAACAAACATTTATTAAACACCTACTTTGTGCCAAGCACTATGCTAAGTATTGGAGATGCCATCAATAAAAGGAAAGATAGTCCTTCCAATTCCAGATCCAACCCCCTCATTTTTGTGGATAAGCAAAGTGAGGTACAGGAAAGTGGATGCATGGGGGAGGAAACACCTTCCTTCAAAGAAGTTTCTCCTTGGATTTCTAGAGCTGCTCAGCTCCAGCAATGTGGCACGTACAGTTTTTTGGCTTTTTTGTTTTTTAACCTCCCCTTCTCCCTACAGACGTACAATAGATAACCTCTGACACGTTAGGACAATGAGCCAGTCTTGAGACAAGAAATTCTATTGGCTGAATGAGAACAGGACAGTGCGAGGCTGGGCTCTACTCATGATGACTCACAAAGCCCTTTGACACGCTGACCCACAGCCAGCTCACCCTGAGCCCCGGCTCTCTCTCCCAGGCATTTCAAAGCTTCTCTGGTGTTGCAAAGCTCAGAAAGGAATTCTGGACCCCACCATGCCTGCTCCAAGCCAAGGGAGCTGAGCGATCTGGCTTCAAGAGGTGGAGAAAGAAAAATCAGCTCTGGAGAAAGAACTCTGGATTTGGAGCCCGGGGACCTGGGTTCAAATCCCAGCTGGACTTCTTACTATCTGGGCAACCTTGGGCAAGTGACCTCCCTCCCTGGGCCTCAGTTTCCTGATCTGAAAAATGAGGGGATTGGACCTAATGACCTCTGAGGTCCCTTCCCACCCTAGGTCGGTGGTCTCTGGAAATTTGACCACCTGCCTGCTCCAGAGGGTGTGAGACACTCTCACTGCAGTTTGATTCCAGCTAAGAAGTTTGGAAAAAAGTTGTGATGCACTAGCGCCACCAAGTGGCCACCATAGGACTTGACATCAGAAAAAAATTCCTATTTAGGGCTGTCTCGAAGTGAAACTGGGTGGGGGGGTTCCCTCAAGCCAAGGATGAGCCACCACTGGCTAGGGGCGCTTCAGAGGGTCTTCCTGTCCAGCTACAGGATGGACTAAATGGACTTCTAGATCTGAGGGTCTGAGCCCACCATGCCAGCATCCTAGAACATCAGGACTGGGCTGAAGCTTTAAGATTATCTAGTCCATTCAAATCCGGCCTTAGACACATGATAACTCACTAGCTGTGTGACCCTGGGCAAGTCACTTACCCTCGATTGTCTGGCAAAAAAAAAAAGATTATCTGGTCCTCCTCCATATCACAGCTAAAACTAAAAAGCATAGGAGGGAACAGGGAAGAACAATTAGCAAACTTAGAAACTGAGATCCTGTCAAGGCTACTCATCTCTTGATTTGAAATAAGAATAAGAGAGTCTGCTCTGATTAGCCACTGGGCAAGGGTAGATGGGAAATTCACACCAGGGTGCTGGCTCAGACAATTCTCACATGCCTTAATCAAAGTCTTGTGACGATTAGCCTGGACGAGTCTAAACCATATCAGCTCATGAATTTGGCTGTGACATCATCCCCAGGGCATATTGTGTGTGTGTGTGTGTGTGTGTGTGTGTGACAGTGTGTACACCTGGACTCTCTTCTCCAGGTATTTCAAAGCTTCTCTGGTGTTGCAATGCCCAGAAAGGAATTCTAAATGTAAGTATATAGAGATACATACATGTATCTCTACATACTTATATACATGCATGTGGATATACACACATATGTATACAAAGACACACACCTATCTATATATTCATGCATGTACACACATATGTATACACATGTATGTGCTTACACGTGTGAATATATGTATATACACATGTGTATACAGAAATATATTTTCTGGGAAACATATGGAAATGTATATTTCTATCTACACATCTGCATATGTATACACATGTGCAGATATTCATATATGAACACATGCATTTAGATGATACAGCTAATAAAACCTCACCACTTTGTAAGTTATGACTCACATTTGTATGTGTGCATACACTATATTATTATCCCTCTCTTTTTTCTCTGTGTGTGTGTATATACATATACATGTCTATACTTACTCACTGACATTCTTATCTACAATAGCATACTATCTCTATGTGAAGGAAAGAGGATTAAAAAAATTTTTGTTTTAAAATTTTTACACTCCCTTTGAGATGACTAGAGATAACCCTGAGATTTTATGAAGCCACGGCCCAGAATTCCTGGTCCGTTCTAAGTATCCTGGAGCTTTCCTTCCCCCAAAAGTGAAATATTCGCCAGGAGAAGGCACGTTGAAGGTGATACGGCAAGGCTGAGTGATGGGAGGCGGCCCGGCTGCTGGTCCCATGGCCTTCCCCTGGCCCAGGTGATCCAGGTAAAGGCAGAAGAGGAGGTGGCTGCTCCTTCCAGATAAGAGAGAGACCACGAGCTCCTGGCTGATAGAATGGAGCTCCTGGGAAGGCATGGCTTGTGGCGTCAATTCCTAGTTTTTGAAGCTGGTGTTCAGTTCTCTTGGCCATGGGGTGGAGCCTAATGTGCTTGGATGTGGAGTTAGGAGGACTGGGCTCAAAACCAGCTTAAAACACTTCCTAGCTGAGTGACCCTGAGCAGGTGCCTCAGACTCTCTGGACCTCTGATTCCTATCTGTATAATGAGAATAATGATAGCACCTACTTCACAGGCTTTCTGTAAAGTACTTTGTCGACCTTTAAGGTCGATGGAAACATGAGGTATTGTCAGGCTGACCACCAGTAGCCTCCCATCTTTCTTCATCCCTGTTTCAGCATTTCACAGCAAGAATTCTTTTCTAGACAAGGCAGCTGACTTAACCGCCCTTCCCCAACAACAAAGAGCTCGCTACTGCTTCCTGAACCGACCCTTGACCATTTCTCAGTCCTAGTGTCCTCTCTGTCCCTTTTCCCAAGGCCAATGCCAAAAACTTGCCTCCTCCAGGAAGCCAGCCCTGATTAGCCTCACCCTGCTCTGACTGCCATTTTTCTTGGCATCCTGCTGGCTCAGCTCGCACCTTATTATCTTGGCACTTCTGGACATGGTGGTTTGTCCTTTTCACAGAAGGCATCTTCTCTCCCCAGGCAGAAGAAAAGTCTCTTGGAGGTATAGAAGGAAATGGTTTGTTTCTTCCATCTCCAGGCCCTGGAAGGGCTGGGTGGTTTCCTGTTCATAGTAGTCATTGAATTAATCCTCTAAATCACAGTTTCACAGAATCTCAGAGTTGGAAGGGACCACAGTAGTTACATATCATAGATTTAGAGCTGGAGGGGACCTGAGAGATCAGTTAGTCCAAACCCACCCCCCTCATTTGACACATGAGGAAACTGAGGCCCAGAGAAGTTTAGTGACTTCCCCAAGGCCACACAGCAGCATATTAGTGCCAGCATTTGAACTCAGATCCTCTGACTTCAAATCCAGCCTTTTTTGGACTGCTCCCCATCTTGTCCAATTCATAGCTATTACCCGCTCCTCTCCCTACCCTCTTGGGGGTATCGGAATGTACGGCCATCAGGCACGGAGTTCTTTGGGGAGCAGGGAGGGCCATCAGCCCAGAAAGGCTTCATAGTCCATGTACCAAACGAGCTGGCCAGAAGCAGGCAGGACCCCGGAGATGGGCCACTTCTCGGGCTCGTGGCCCACCCGGCTCACCTGGAGGGCGATGTCCCTCTTCCTTTTGCCCATCACGAGGACGGCCACCTCCTTGGCCCGGTTAATGAGGGGGAGGCTGAGGCTCATGCGCTGGTGAGGCTTGGCGGGGCTCTCGGTGAACACCACCAGCTTCTCCCCTCCCAGGCCACTGGGCGAGTGAGGGAAGAGCGAGGCTGTGTGCCCGTCAGTGCCCACACCCAGCAGCACAAGGTCAAAGCTCCTGTTGGTCACCAGGGCTGAGATCTCCTTGGCGTAGAGCTCGGCGCCCTGGTCCTCCTCCACGCAGAGCCGCCGGTGCAAGTGGACGGGCATGGGGTGGATGTTGCAGTACGGCACCCGGACGTGCTGGAGCAGGTGGACGTGCAGACCCTGGAAGTTGGATTCCGGGTCGGTCAGCGGGACGCACCGCTCATCCACCAGCCACAGGTGGGTGTGGCCCCAAGGGAAGCTGTAGTGCCTCGTGGCCAGCCTCTGAAACAGGGCCACGGGGCTGGCGCCCCCCGAAAAGGCCAGGTGGAATTCCCCGGAGCGCTTCACGGCCCGCTCAGCGGCCACCTCGATGTCGGACGCCAACCGGGCGATCAGCTCCTCAGGCCAGGCTGAGACAAGAGGGCTCTGCCGGAACTTGGCCTGCAGGACGCTGAAGTCTCTAGGCATGGGGCCGGGGCCGGACACCAGCTGCTCCACCTCCCGCTGAACAAAGACCACCTGGCTGCCCTCCTGCTCAAAGTCCAGCAGGTGCTCGTTGCTGGTCCCCCCCGGGTACTGCCGGGGCACCTCCTGAGCAATGCTGTCCAGCAGCGGGGTCCACACGTCCCAGGAGGCCAGCAGGTTCTCCGTCGTGATGAAAAAATCCTTCCGCCGGTGGAAGATGTGGGAGATCAGAACCGAGTAGGCGTCTCTCTCCTGGCGGGGGCGGTAGGCGTGGAAATCGGCCAGCTGTTGACCAAAGAGGTGCAGCGTGGGCATTTCCTGGATCTCCTGCCAGCTCCCAGGCGGCAGCGAGGGCTTAAATAGGTTCCTGCTGACCAGCACCGCGGGGCTGCCCAGCGTCCCGTGCCCGATATAGAAAATGATCTGTCTGGGCTGGCACTGGCTCTTCCCGGAGTCCCGGTGGCTCTCGCTCTGGGTGCAGTACGCCCGGTTCTTGAATACCACCCGGACGTAGCCCACCCTCTCATCCAGGGCCTTCCCGGACATCAGGATGAAGGGGACGCCCTCCCAGCGCAGGTTGTCGATTTGAAGAAGGACGCCTGAAACAACAAGAGGAGAGAATCTTGGACGCGGCCGACAGGATCATCTCGGGAGGGTTTCAGGGTCTTGGCGGCCAGCTAGTCCATCCCACACGCAAACAGGGAGGGATGCCCTTGACCACACACCCAATGGGTGGTCATCGGGACCCTGTTTAAAGCGTCTAGTGACTGGGAAAGTGTTCCTCCTCACCTCTGCCTCCCAGGTTCCTTCAAGTCCCAGCTAAAATCTCACCTTCCGCAAGAAGCATTCCGTCTGCTGGTTACTTCCAATTTATCCTGTTGTCTCCCCTAGACTGTAAGCTTCTTGAGGGCAGGGACTTTCTACGTCTTTCTCTGTATCCGCAGAGCTTAACCCCATGCCTGGCACACAGTAGGCACTCTGCCTTTCTCTGTAACCCCAGAGCTTAGCCCAGTGCCTAGCATACAGTAGGCATTTATAAAATGCCAGCTGACTGACCTCCCAAGGAAGCTCACTTCCCTTTAGGAGAACTAATAGTTGGGAAGTTCCTTCTGTCAGCAAACCTATATTGGTCCTAAACCTGACTCCTACCCATTCTCCCTAATTTTGCCCTCTGTGGCCAGGCAGAGAACAGGAGGCTCATTTTGAGGGCAGGCTTTTTTTATTTGTTGTTTCTCCCACTAAGCTCCTAGGAGGTAGGGGCTATCTTGCCCGCTTGTATCTACATTCCCAGCGCTTAGCCCAGGGCCTGGCACATAGTAGGCACTATATAAATGTTAGCTATTATTACTATTGGGGCAGCTAAGTGGTACAATGGATAGAGTGCAGAGCCTGGAGTCTGGAAGACTCATCTTCCTGCGTTCAAATCTGGCCTCAGACACTTCCTAGCTGTGTGACCCTGGACAAGTCACTTAACCCTGTTTGCCTCAGTTTCCTCATCTGTAAAATTAGCTGGAGAAGGAAATGGCAAGTCACTCCAGGACCTTTGCCAAGAAAACCCCAAATGGGGTCAACAAGGGTTGGACACAATTGAACAACATAGAGTTAGTATCAGAGGTGGGATCTGAACCCAGGTCTCTCCTGACATCAAGTCCAGAACCCCATCTTGGGTCATAGAATCATAGAACAGAGTTAAAAGGGGTTGCCATCTGGTGCTGAAGGACTAATGCCCCGTGAAATGACTTGCCGAAGGTCATTCAAAGGAAAGCATGGATATTTTTTCCACTGCGCCATGATGGCTCCTTAATACTTGCCTGAGGTAGACAAGGAGGGTTATGGGATAGGGGGAGGAAGGTGGCTTGCATATAGGATGGCAGGCCACTGGTATTCTGGACTATAAAGGTCAGCGTGCTGGTCAACTAGCACCAGGAGAGCGGCCTAGTCTGCCTGGCCAGCTTGTCCCCCACCAACCAGCCATAGTCCGACCAGATATGGCTGAGAAGCTTCTAGCACCCGTAGTCATTGAACCAAAGGGACACCACACCACTCCACTCCACTCCACTCCACTAACCCCTGGGGAGTGAGAAGGTGCCTGGCCACCAGGTCTAGGACCCAGAAGGATGTGCAGCTGGCCTCAGTCCATCCTCATCGGGCCAGTGCGGGAAGACTGCCATCAAGGATGTCCACTGCCCAGAAAAAAGCCAAGTAGTAACCTGGCTGTTTAGGTCAGCCTTAAAGGCATCCCAGAGGAATTTCACACATCCCACAGAGTCCTCATGAAAATCCCATGGCCATCATTGCCAGCCATATTGGAACAGCCTCTGGACTGAGAAGCCAGAGCCACCGAGGAGCTGGAAAATACCTTCAGGATGAAACTGACAGATCCAGAGAAACATACAAAGACTTATACAAACTGATGCAGAGTTAAGGAAGTAAAACCAGAAGGACAATTTACACAATCCCAATAGCACTGCCAAGACAAACAACCTTAAGAGACCTAACGATAACAATGCCCACAATAACAGCTGGCATTAATATAGTATTTTGAGGTTTACAAAGTACTTTACATATGTTCTCATTTGGCCCTCACAACAAGCCTGTGCATAAAGTGCTATTATTCTCCCATTCTACAGCTGAGAAAACTGACTGATACAATGACCAATCACAATTCCAGAGGACCAGTAAGGAAGCTGCTACCCACCCTCTGGCAGAGAGGCAATGGCCTCAAGATGCAGAATGAGACATGTGGCTTTTGATGTGGCCGATACAGGAATTTGTTTTGCTTGATTATATATATTTGTTACAAGAGTTTAGTTTTTCTTTTTTTTCTTTTTTTTTTTGCCAGCTGAGCAGGGGGAAGGTAGGAGGGAGAGAAAAATTAATGCTCATTAACTGAAAAAATATATTAAAGAAATAAGGCTTACCATGCTTTAAAGAAAAAAGGGAGAAAAATAGAAAATACCTCCAGGATCATCCAGTGAAGTCCCTGTATTTTTCAGACAAGGTCCAAAGGTGTCAAGTGAGAGGCAGAAGGGTACAGTGGAAAAAGCTTTGGAGGCAGAGGTGGTTTGTTAAGTCATTTTGCAGTCATGTCTGATTCTTTGTGACCCCATTTGGGGTTTTCTTGGCAAAGATGCTGGAGTGGTTTGCCATTTCCTTTTCCAGCTCATTTTACACATGAGGAAACTGAGGCAAACAGGATGAAGTGACTTGCCCAGGGTCACACAGCTAGTAAGTGTCTGAAGCTAGATTTGAATGCAGGAAGGAGTCTTTCTGCCTCTAGACCCAGCATTCTAGCCATGTGCCACCTGGGTTCAAATCATCATCATTCCTACCTACATGGCCTTGAGAAAAATCATTTCATTTCCCTGGGCCTCAGTTTCCTCATCTATAATGTGAGATAGCCTCTATGGTTCTTCCAGCTCAACACCAAAGATGCTATCTATGACTTGTCCAATGACTCATGGAGAGTTAGTATCAGAGGCAGCATTCGAACCCAGATCCCTTGGCTCCTGGTCCAAGGCACCCCAGCCAGGAAACCTACCTGCGAAGGTCGGCGTCAGGCTCATATACCCGGCAGGCTTCTGCAGCTCCCTCTGGACCTGCTCGTTGTATGCCTGGTACTGCCCGAGGACCGCGCTCCCCTTTTCCAGGCTCCGAAGGGCCCGGAAGGTCCGCAGCTTGGACCGGAGCAGCTCCTCCGGGTTGCTGAGGTTCCGGGGCAACTCCATGGCCACGTAGGTCAGGATCTCAGTCAAGTGGTTCTGGATGACGTCCCGGATGACTCCGTACTCTTCATAGAAGCTGGTCCGACCTGGGGGAAGGAAGAGGAGAGAGAGAAGTCAGGGGAGCATGGGGGGGGAGGGAGAGAGTCAGGGGGTCCCGGGAGGGAGGAGGGAGAAGAGTCAGGGGGTCCCGGGAGGGGGAGGGAGAGGAGTCAGGGGGACCTGGGAGGGGGGAGGGAGAAGAGTCAGGGGGGCATGGGAGGGGGGAGGGAGAGGAGTCAGGGGGTCCTGGGAGGGGGGAGGGAGAGGAGTCAGGGGGACCTGGGAGGGGGAGGGAGAAGAGTCAGGGGGGCATGGGAGGGGGAGGGAGAGGAGTCAGGGGTCCTGGGAGGGGGGGGAGAGGAGTCAGGGGGACCTGGGGGGGAGGGAGAAGAGTCAGGGGGCATGGGGGGGGGAGGGAGAGGACTGAGGGGGGCCTGGGAGGGGAGAGGACTGGGCCAGATGAGGACAAGGAAGGACCTGGTCAAGCCTCCAGTGTCTGTCAATTGCCCCCTGAGTCCAGTTCAAACACCTGAGACTCTAATATAAAAGCAGGTTGTTTTTTTCTACATTTATCCCCACCTCAGGATTTGCCTTCTCATATTCTTATAAGCCAACCAAACTGAATTCTGAAGCTTAAACTCATGCTTTCCCACCTCCGAGCTTTTGCTCACTCTGGTGCCTGAGCTTAAAACAGTCCCTCTTTCATCTGCTTGATTTCTTCCTTTTGCCACTCAAAAGCCAACCCCTCCTGGAAGGCCCCCTGAACCTTGTCCTGCACAATGCTGATGACTGTCTCCCTTCAATCTCACATTGTTTCCTGCCTCTCTGGTCCATGTGATAGCTCCTCCTGTGATAGCAAGTTCCTGGAGGACAGACTTATGTCTCATCTACATTTTGTATCTTCTCCAGCCCCCAGCATAGTGAGTTGTATAGAGTGATACTACTAACAACAGTAATTGATAAAAAGTAACATTTATATAGTGCTTACTCTATACCAGGACAGTTGGGTGGCTCAGTGGATAGAACACTGGGCCTGGAGTCAGGAAGACCTGAGTTCAAATGTGACCTCAGACACTTGCTTGCTGTGTGACCCTGGACAAGTCACTTCACCTTGTTTGCCTCAGTTTCCTCATTTGTAAAATGAGCTGGAGAAGGAAATGGAAAACCACTCCAGTTTCTCTGCCAAGAAAATCCCAAATGGGGTCATGCATAGTCAGACATGACTGAAACAACTGAACAACAAACATGTGCCTGGAACTGTGGCAATGTAACACGGTAGAAATGGATCAGATCTGCTGTCAGGAGAGACCTGACTCCCTCTTGGATTCCTCTTCCAACACTTGCTACCTGTGTGACCCTGGGAAAGTCATTTTAGCCTCAGTCTCCTCATCTGTAAATTGGAAGCGACAATTATCCTCACAGGGTTTTCATGAGGCTCAAATGAAATATTATAGACCAAAGTGCTTTTGAAAGTCACAAAGTTACATAGAAACTGTATAGAACTATTATTTTTACTATTACTACAGACACTTGTGCAAGGACATGGACAGGGAAGAGGGAATGTGGACCCCTGGGCCAGGAAGGCCATCCTTCCCCTCACTTTGTCCTTATAGAATCTTCTGGGCTGCTGCCTATACAAGGCCTCTCCTCATCCCCTCTCCCCAGGTATTTATTGGCAAATCTCTCCCTATTAAAATTTATTGGTCAATACATTGTATCCATTTATGTATGTGTTATTTTCTGGGTAGATCATAAGCTTCTTGAGGGCAGGCACTGTTTCCTCTTTTGTCTTTATCTCCACTTCCTAGCCCAGTGCTTGGTACATAGTATAGGGGATTAAGAAATACTTTTTGAGTTTAATTTGTTGAATTGAATGTAAGCAGCGCTGTTACAAACAACTCTGAGGTACCACCTCATACCCATCAGATTGGTTAAGATGACAGAAAATGAAAATGACAAATATAATGCATTGTGGGCGGAGCTGTGAACTAGTCCCACCATTCTGGTCATTTTTTTCTTTATTTTGTTTGGTTTTTGCTAGGCAATGGAGTTAAGTGACTTGCCCAGGGTCACACAGCTAGTTAGTGTGAAGTGTCTGAGACCGGATTTGAACTCAGGTCCTCCTGACTCCAAGGCCAGAGCTCTATCCACTGCGCCACCTAGCTGCTCCTAAGGAGCTGTTTAAGGATAAGCCAGGCACTGTGTTTGCAATGGCCAGTTTTCTAGGGGAAGAGTTCAAATTTCTGGACTCTTGAATCAGCTGAGGTGTGGTTTTGAATACTTATTTGACAGATCAGGAAATCGAGGCTCAGAAGCACAATTACTTGGCCAAGGACACACAGTTAATAAGTGGCCCAAAGTGGCTTGCAAACAGTCAGGTGGTATTATTGTTCAGTTGTTCTGTGACCCCATTTTGGGATTTCCTTGGCAAGGATACTACAGTGGTTTACCATTTCCTTCTCTAGTTCATTTTACAGATGAGGAAACTGAAGCAAACAGGGTAAAGTGACTTGCCCAGGGTCACACAGCTAGGAAGTGTCTGAGGCTGGATTTGAACTCATGAAGATGAGTCTTCCTGACTGCAGGCCCAGTGCTCTATGCACTATGGTGCCACCTAGCTGCTCTGGGGTTGGTATAATAGGTGCTTAATAAATGTTTGCTGATTGATTTATTGATTAGCCCTCTGTCCAATCTGAAACCTTAAGGCAGGAAACCACCTGTTTAGTAGCCAGGGAGTGTTTGTTCAAATCCCATCTCTACAATCCATGCCTGGGCAACCTCAGACAAGTTGCTTAGTCTCTGGGCCTCAGTTTCCTCATCTGTCAAATAAAAGGATTGGTCTCCACGGCCTCTTAAGTCCCTTTCAGGACTGGATTGATAATACTGTCACTTTCCCTCCCTCTCTGCCTCAGACACATCTGGTCTTGCATCCAGAAGAGGTTTCCAAACAAGTCTCATCTGCTGTCCCTGCAGTCACCTGCTGGGATCTTCAAAAACAGAAAAGCAAAGAGGCAAGGAGGGCCTGCGGGGAGGGGCTGGGCTCTCCTACCACCACCCCAGCCAGTCAGATCTGGCAGCTGGTCACAGCTGACTGGCGTTCCCTCACTCGCAGGAGGCACAGCCAGATGGGGGTGAGGGTGGAGGAGCTAGGTCCCCTGACCCTGGTACTGACCCTGCCGACAAACCCATGCTGACTGCAGCCCGAGCAGCCAGCCCACATCTGGCTGGGCTGCCAAGATCACTCTGCATCAGGCCCTATGACCAGTGACCTTCCTGTGTGGGCAGTACAGGCCTCCTCCATCCTGGGAAATTCTCCCTCCCTCCCCTTCCCCACCAAAGAAAGCCCCCCAAGGGCAAAGGCAACATTAGTCTCCACAGACAGGAGATGCCAGCTGCCTAGGAGACCTGGCAATAATGATAAAAATTCACATTTCTAGAGTGCCATAGGATCACAAAGGGATAAATTTTAAAATGACCGTATGGATGAGGCATCTGAAACACTGTCATCTTCATTTTACAGATGGGGAAAATGAGGCCCATAGAGGTGAGGTCACAGAACCCTAGCCCAACCCCCTCATTTTACAAATGAGGAACTCTTGACCAAGAGGGCTTTGAGTGATTTGCCTAAGGTCATGAAACTAGTGAGTGTCAGACCAGGCCCTTGGACTCCCAATGTGGCATGCCATTCTTTATACCACACTCTGCAAAGTGCTTCACATCAATTACCTCATTAGAACCTCACAATGACCCTGTGAAGTATGCGTTATCCCATGACTATATGTTATCCCCATTTTATGGGTGAAAAAACCAAAGCTAGATGGGGTTAATTGACTTATCCATGATCACACAAGTGCCAGAGTCAGGATATGGATTAAGAGTCATAATTTCCAGGAACAAGGAGATGACAGGGCCTCTGTCATCCACCCTGGTCAGATGACAGCTGGAACACTTTGGTCAGGTCTGGGCATGACATTTTAAGGACAGTGATAAGCTTAGGAGAGGGAGGGGGCACAACCAGAGAAAGGGCCTCAAATCCATGCCATATGAGGATGGAACTGGGGAGATTCAGCCCAGGCAGGAGAAGACCTGTCTGAAAGTTTGTCACATAGAAGAGGGATGAACATTCTTCCGTTTGGGCCCAGAAGACAGAGCTCTCACAGCAATGGGACAAGAAATTGCAAAAAGGCAAATGTAGGCATGATGTAAGGAAAAATACTCTAACTTGAACTGCCCCAAATTGGAAGGAGCTGCCTTGGCAGACGGTGAGCTGCCCCTCCCCAGAGAGCTCAAAGTAGAGGCTGGCTAGCCCTTGTTGAGGGCTTCCAGTGGTCACCAATCTATTACTCAATTAGTAAACAACAAGAATTCATTCACTAGGTGCTAGGCCCTGGACATACAAAGACAAGCAAAACAGCCCCTGCCCTCAAGAAGCTTACATTCTAACAAGGAAGACAACACATCATTTCAGCTGTGACCCCATTTGGGGTTTTCTTGGCAACAATACAGGAGCGGTTTCCCATTTCCTTCTCTAGCTCCTTTTACAGATGAGGAAACTGAGGCAAACAGGGTTAAGTGACTTGCCCAGGGTCACACAGCTGGTAAGTGTCTGAGGTAATATTTGAACTCAGATAGTCTTCCGGACTCCAGGCTCAGCGCTCTGGGCACTATGGCGCCACCTAGCTGCCTCATGTACCTCAGTAGTTGTAAAACACATACAAAGCAGAGAGGAGGGGGTTGGAGGGAGGGGAAGAAGAAGCCTCTAAGAGAACCAGGAACAGCTTTGTGCAGAAGGCTGTGCTTGAGCTGGGTCTTGGAGGAAGCCAGGGAGTCCAAGAGGTAGTGTTGATGAGACAGAACAATCCAGGCAGAGGGGACAGCCAGTGCAAAAGCAGGGAGGTGAGAGATGAAGGTCAATTGGGCCGGACCATGAGAATATGTAAGGGAATAAAGTGTAGAAAGGTAGGGTGGGACCAGGTGGTGAAGAGTCATCTATTAAGCACCTACTAAGTGCACTCTGGGGATACAGAAAGAGGCAAAAAAAAAAAAG